TTCAGTGGCAGGCGAGGATAAAACCTTTACATTTGTAGTGTAATAGTAAACAAATTAATCATTATTTATTGTGTGATGCTTTAGCACAAACTCAACCATATAAAAACTGAGTATAAACATCCCACGATACCTGTCTAGTACATGATTATATTAGTCTTTTATCCTAAAGTTGTGTGGGCTAATCTGCTCTTTCACTCCCTTTAGGATTTCTAACACATTTGAGCCTGAAGGAGCTCTGCTGTCAACATCAACTCATACAAATAATTTTAAATAGGTTGATTTCAACAGCTGTGCATGACAGGCAAATCTTTTGACAGTAAACAATGAACACCATTTTTTTTTTATAAAAAACATGATTTCCTGACAAATTGCTGCCCCAAATGAAGCAGTTTACTACCCTGAATATCAAAGCATTTTTAGGTCTTAGTTAATTTTGTCATTTTATTTATTTATTTATTTTACCCTTTGTTGAATTTTGAATTCCATGTTTCCTTCCCTGCAGGTGAAAAGCCCTCCAGCCTGCCTCTTGGCACACTCAGCTAATAATAATAAAGCTTCAAAGCTCTYCCACGTCTGCCTTTATTATTCATCCCATCCTTGAATTACGCAGTTATTAATTTTTCCGCTCAGCTGATCTCTGTAATGGCGTGTTGTAGCTGAGTGTGTTGGTAATCAGGAAGCTAAATGAGAATTTTTAAGGCATGATGACCGCATAGAAACACACGTCAAAGTCATTGCAGATACAATATGGCTGACCTTGATCCAAACAAGCTTCCACGCACCACACGCTCAAACGAACTATTAAGTTCATCCAAGTGTGAATTTGTGGCCAACCTCGTTATGATTATTGTCTCGTCTGTAGAGGTGATGTCATTCAGCATCAGTGGAATGCAGTCGCTGCAGAAAAAGAGACACACAAGGTGACGGTCAGTGCGTGAGGACAGAACCAGGTTCACATGTGTGGCTCCCCGCTGCGCTTGTTCTTCCTCATTCAGTCCCTCTACTGTATGTCAGGGGTGGGCAATCCTGGTCCTCGAGGGCCGCAGCCCTCCAGGTTCTATGATTTTCCCTGCTCCAACACACCTGATTCAGACATTGAATTACCAAGTTCTGCAGTATGGAGGACCGACACTGACATAACTAGAAAAAAAGCAGAAATATATAAATGGACCAATAAATAAATTCAATTAAAAATGTGCCATTTAAATTAAAAAAGGAGAGCTTTATCTCACGTTTTATAATTTAATTGACCTTCAT